GTGAAATCCTCGCGACAAGGATAGAGAACCAGCATGCAATGATCGTGAGCGTTGATCGGGGAAGGATTCAATCGGTAGATCCAGCCATAGGAGAGGTCCGTGAGGAGCAAGCAAGGCGTAATGAAGAAGTTCTTGAACAGTTAACCAGGCTGGAGGGAGAAGTACGGTTTTTGAAGGACCGCATTGGTGCTCAAGGTGATACCTTATCAATGTTGTTCTTTTTTTGTGTGATTGGACTGGTTGCATATATCTGTAGGTTTTAGGTTTCGGTTAGCATTGAGTACTAAACTATTTAACATGGTCTCTTTTAATCTTTTTTGCTGAGGATCATTTTGGACTCTACGTGGACAAGGGTTGGACTGCATGGCATACGGGCCTTCATGGCATATGGTGCAAAGTGAAGGTTAGTTCTCTTTAAACCGTATCGGTTGTTTAGGTTTTGTTGGAACAAGAATTGTGTGAGTGTTTGATATGTAGTTTAGGTCTTTTTAATGGTTGACATGACATGGTAGGTTTATGTAATTAATACCTTTTTCGAGAACTCAAAAACTTCTTTACAAAGTTGAAAACTGTCTTAAAAACTCTCACCCATAAATTAAACGAGACTCAACCAACACTTAAAAGACAGATAACCACTACAATAAAGACACTTAAAAGATACTCAACCATAAATATAATAACTCTCTTTTTAATTAAACCTCTACTATGTTTCACTCTTTCAGTTGCTTATTTTCCTTCTTTCAAGCGTCCACTATCTGATACTCTAAAACTTCATTCGATTTCTCTTCACTCATTTCACTCTTTCATTCAATCTTGTATTCGGTGACTCTCTTTATTTTCTTTCTGTTAACTTCTGAAAACTCCTTCTTTCATTCACATGGACTCTCACAACTCCTTTACGCCCTTTGAAGGGTTTGTTAATCTTTTAAGTAGTCAGTTAACCCCTGAAGCTTATTCTCCGTGCATAGACTTAGGATCATCAGAAGTTCCCTTGTTTAGCACACAAGGTTCTGATGATCCGTCTGATAATGCGTTGGAGAGGATATGGGCTTTCCCGGGATGATAGGAAGCATCGATTGTATGCATTGGGAGTGGAAGAATTGTCCGACTGCATGGAGAGGGCAATATACACGGGGGTCAGGAAAACCGACAATCGTTTTAGAAGCAGTTGCATCACACGATCTTTGGATATGGCACGCATTTTTTGGACCTCCAGGTACATTAAATGATATTAACGTTCTTGATCGTTCTCCAGTTTTTAATGACATCTTGCAAGGTCGAGCTCCAAAAGTAAGATATTGGGTAAACGGTAACGAGTACCGTTTGCCATATTATCTAACCGACGGTATTTATCCCAAATGGGCGACATTTATACAGTCAATTCATCTTCCACAAGGAGAGAAAAATAAGTTATTTGCAACAACTCAAGAATCCGTCCGAAAAGATGTGAAGCGAGCTTTTGGCGTTCTGCAATCTAGATTTGCAATAATAAAAAATCCAACTCTTTTTTGGGATAAAAAAAAAATTGGCAAGATTTTGCGGGCTGCTATCATATTACACAATATGATAGTAGAGAACGAACGACATAGCTACAGTCTCTTCAATTTACAAGAATTCCAACAACCAGAAAGAAGCCGAACTCCGCATGTCGATTGGACATATTCTACAAATAAGGCCTACAAATATCGCAAATTTGATGATGGCAAAACGAAACGAGGTCCGTGACAACCAGATACATGAACGCCTAAAAGCGGATTTAATCGAAAATCTCTGGAATAAATTTGGTACTTCTTAAATGTTTTTAAGTATTTCTATATTTCAAGTGTTGTATGTTTTGTAATTTTCTTTCAATAATTTGTTTATTTCTGTAATAGATGTATTTCTCTTTGCTAAATTGTATTTCTTTTTTTTAAATAAAAATGTGTTTACTTTTACTTAAAAAAAATATATATATATTTATTCGGGATGAACCCGAACCACGGGTTCACTACTGAAAGCACTTTTCCCACATGAGTTCTTCCCAAACTTTAATCAAACTAAAAATTAATTTTTAATTCTAATGACCCCCAATGAGAGGGTCACGGACATGCCCTTAGTGTTCTTAGTGTTCGTTCAAGGGTAAACTAAGAATTGAATGTCAATAGTCATGAGTCATGATCATTACATTTGTAAAATATTAGCTCCTTACACATAATGACATAACTTTCTTTCGATATTTCTATTTCTAAACCAAATACCACTTGTCTTGACTCATGACTATAAGGAGTTAAGGACTTGCTAACTTCGTAGACCAAGAAAGAAACCTTCCAAGATGGGCCTTTCCACAAAATATTCGATACATTATTTGATAAGCATTTGACGTTTTGCTATCAATGCGATTTTTGTGATATTAAATTACACAAAACCTAGATTCTTCAGTTTTCTTGTATTCAACATAGATTCTTCGTAAATGTCCCGTCATCAATTTTCTGCAGTACTTTAGTTGTTTAATCAATAAATGCTTTAAGTTGTTTTTACTTTATGACCAATTTAGATCAGTAATCCAATTTACATTTCACTGCACCAAGATTATTCTACCCAATAATATGCTGAAAAATACTACCCAACAATATTTAGTCTCTTCTTCCCTCTCAATCTTATTAGAAATTAAGAATCGAAAAATAAAGTTTCTTTGTTTTTTTTTTTGTCACGATGTACTAGTATTGTTTATTGTGGAAGAAAATCCAGTTAGATATCCTCGAACGTGTGGCCGCGAGGAAGAGCATATGGGCTGAGACATGTCGCACATGAGCAATTCGTATAGTTACATGTATCTAGACAACTAACAATTCAATTAATTATAATTGTTAGGATAATTTATAATAACATTATATGTCATCGGTGAATCATAATCTTTTGGCTCCGTTTTGGAGAAATCAACCATGACTAAAAACATTGTTTGTACAACACTAAAATCTTACTACTTATAAGTTAGACAACTATATATTCAATATCATAAAATTAAAAAGCAAGGGCAATTTTTTTAATCAACAGCTTGTAATAAATCAATACAATTTAGAAATTCAAACTGAAAGTGACAAGTTTTCTATCGTAAAATCTAACTAAAAATGATTAAGCGACGTCATAATCTAAGAGTTTATTATGGTGGTGGCATAAGAAAATAATGGTGAATTGTAGCATAAGAAAAAAATGGTGAATTGTAAATTAGTAGATAGTAGATTAGTAGAAAATACTGATTACATTTGATGTTTAGAGTGTAATTTTGTAATTTGCTTAAGAGTATCGATATATAAATGATACTTACATCGCCATCATACTTTTAAAGATAGCAATATCAGTTCAAGTAATAATACGGAAACTAAAGAACCTACATGTTTTGGAAAAGATCAAAGAAAAATTGAAGTGGAGGATACAATAAACTTTAGAAAAAGAAATGGAAAAAAAACCAATAAAAGAATTTTAACAAAAAACAAAATACCAATCAGTGTGACAAAAAACACATTCTATCTAAATTGTGATTACGTTTGATACGGTACAACAAATCCATTTGATTATTATTCTACAAATTTATATATAAGTGAATTGTTTTAAAAAAATTTTGACTGCTGAGACTGTCTTAAACAACATGTTGGTGTGAATTGGAACGAAAACCTTGAAAACTTGAGGTGAAAGGCATCGGCCGAATCTATTAATGTCGGTTTCTTCTCAAACGTTTTGGATATGTCAAACATATGGTTCATGGAAACTTGACAAGAATAGTTTGGGTTGGTATATATAAAAAGAACATAGTTACATTACATATATGCGTCATTTAAAAATTGTTTGAAGAAATTAGTAGAATTTTGATAGTTATTGCATTTTAAAAAATTTTACCACTAAATTTTGCTCTTTTTTTTCAGGCATCTCATTCACATAATAAAATTTTACCACTAAATGATACAAAGAATTTTATTATGCTGTTAGCCTGTTACTATTGAGATCTTTATTTTGAAATTATTTGTATAAATTTACATTGTATGCTCATGCCTCATGTCGTGTGGAACATCATTGGTCCTCTTTCTCTCTTTTTCGTATTGACTTTTATATTTATTGTTTTCACTTTTATAGAGATTCGTCACTTCCAAGTCTTTTCTGTGTCTCTCAGTGTAGCACTAGCAAAGTTTTCTGAACCCTAGGGGTTGCATTCTGAAACACGAAACCGGCCAAAACAATGTGATTTACTGCGTTTGTGTATTTATGTTTTTTCTTCACAATTTTCCCAAATTTCTTATTTTTTTAATGAATAATCGAAAATTTTGTATCTTACCATAAGCTTTTACTTCTATTTATTACCATCTTTTAACTGTCGTTTTACAATGTCATACACCGATCATACTAACCTACTTATATATATATATATATATATATATATATAAAACACCGATCATACTAACCTACTTATATATATAAAAAAACACCGATATATCGATTATCTTACAATAAGTCACAAATCTCATCAGCTATACTAATCGTCTAACTCGGTAATATTCGAGTTAATTAACAGAAGATAATTAATCAGTATCAGTAATTGCGACCAATGTGCGGACCACTGTAGAGAAACAACGTGGCACTGTCTGCTACAAGTCCACATCTCACTCTCTCTCCATCTCTTGTTTGTTAGTGGACTGAGTTATGATTATTGGCACAGACCAAACCCACTTCCTTTACCATTTGTTGATTAGATTTTTTTCTCTCGGAAATTGATGGGCAATAGGAAACACAATTTCAAATCCTTTCTCTCTCCTCTCTTATCCTTCCAAAAGAACCAATACACACAGAACATAGTTTCTTGTGACCTTTCTCTCTGTCGCTCTCCATTAGTAATTAAAGACCTAAACTTTATCTTCTTTTTTTGCTGGGTTTAATCGCTTCTTAAATGGGGTTAGATTAGTCTCCCCTTTAATTTAATTGCTTGTAGACTTGAGATTAGGCTAGTAGGTTTTGGTGGGCTATCACACGGGAAAAAAAGATGAAGTCAAAGTCAAATTTTTAAAAGCTTTGAACTTTGGAGGAGAGAGATATACTCCATTTATCATCTTCATGCTCTATACTATATAGCTTATAATTAGCTTATCAGAAGCTAAAGCTATGATTATTTTTTTAATCAAATAGCTAGGGCTTAGGAGAGAGAGAGATTAGAGAAAGTTTTAATCTTTGTTTAAGAAAAAGTTTTGTTTTTTAAAAAGATTAGGGTTTTCATTTCAGAAGCTCAAGAAGAAGATGGAAGTTAGAGAGAAGAAAGATGAGAAAATGGAGATGGAAAGAAGAAAATCATCAGCAAATCCTCAAATCCTAGATCATCGTCTTCCTCCGTACACTTACCCCCAAACCTCCGACAAAGAGAAACCCACCTCCAAAAGAAACGGGTCGGATCCGGTTCCGGATCCGGATCTTGATACCAGCCCAATTTCTGTAGCTCCAGTTCCACGGTCATACGTTAGGCCTCGAGCTACTTCTCCGTCTAAGAGTGTGAGATATAGAGAATGCCAACGAAACCACGCGGCGAGCTCCGGCGGTCACGTGGTCGACGGTTGCGGCGAGTTTATGTCCTCCGGAGAAGAGGGCACGGCGGAGTCACTTCTTTGCGCCGCCTGTGATTGTCACCGGAGCTTTCATAGGAAAGAAATCGACGGCATGTTTGTTGTCAAATTCAATAGCTTAGGACATTCACAGAGGCCGATCGTCAGCCGCCACGTGTCTCCGATCATGATGAGCTTCGGTGGTGGCGGAGGAGGAAGAGATCCGGCGGAGTCATCGACGGAGGATCTTAACAAACTCCATCAATCTTTTAGTGGTAATGGAGTAGATCAGTTTCAATACCATCCCAAGAAACGGTTTAGGACAAAGTTTAATCAAGAACAAAAGGAGAAGATGATGGAGTTTGCTGAGAAGATTGGGTGGAGATTGAGCAAGCCAGAAGACGAAGAAGTGAACCGGTTTTGTCGTGAGATTAATGTGAAAAGACAAGTTTTTAAAGTTTGGATGCACAACAATAAGCAAGCAGCCAAGAATAAAGACATGTAAGAGACTTTTATATACTCTCTTTGTTCAACAATCCTGTTAACTTAAAAGACTATTGTGTTTACAATTTGAAAACAAAAAAAAGAAAAGATTTGATTAGATTAAGAATTGTATAAGAAATTAACTTTAGAGCTCAGCGTAACGGTCTCTGATCTCTCCCGCAACATGAGAAGCCTTTTCCTTTGCGGTTTCATATGCATACTTTGTCGAACCCTTGACCTTGTCCATGGTTTCATCGAATCCCTTGGCCGCTCCATCTTTGGCTTTGTGTGAGTTGCTTTTCATATACTCAACTGATCCATCCATTGCTCCTGTTGTTTTCTCTCTACCATACTTCATTGCACGTTCGGCTTTATCAGCTGCCATGTCTTTAGCACTCTTTGACCTCTCTTTAGCTCCTTCATAGGCTTCATTACTCTTGTCCGTTGCCATCTTGATCACATCGCCGGTCTTGTCATACCCAAAGTCTTTTGCGTTTTGCGCCTTTTCGTAAGCTATGTCCTTTGCATTGCCAGCTTTCTTGTAGGCAAAGTCTTTGGCTTCACCAGCTTTCTCGTAGCCAAAATCCTTTGCTTTGTGCGCACTGCCATAAGCAGATCCCACCTTCTCATAGGCCATGTCTTTGGCATTGCCCGCCTTCTCATAAGCCAAGTCTTTGGCATTGCCTGCCATTTCATAGGCCATGTCCTTTGCATCACCGGCCTTATCATAACCAACATCCTTCATACTTCCATAAGCAGATCCCACTTTATCATAGGCAAAATCCTTGGCATGACCAGACTTCTCATAAGCCACGTCCTTCACATTGCCAGCCTTTTCATAGGCGTAATGCTTCGCGTGTCCTGCCGTCTCATAAGCCATGTCCTTCGCATCACCTGCCTTATCATACGCATAAGCTTTGGCATGTTCCGCCTTTTCATAAGCCAGGTCATTTGCATTCCCTGCCTTATCATATGCATAATCCTTTGCGTGTCCTGCCTTCTCGTAGGCCATATCCTTTGCATTGCCTGCCTTATCATAAGCGAAATCTTTTGCATAGCCTGCCTTCTCATAGGCCATGTCCTTTGCAATTCCTCCCTTCTCATATGCAATATCTTTAGCATTGCCTGCCTTATCATAGGCGAAATCCTTTGTATTTCCCGCCTTTTCATAAGCAAAATCCTTTGCATAGCCTGCTTTCTCGTAGGCTATGTCCTTTGCATTGCCTGCCTTCTCATAAGCCATTCCCTTAGCATCACCACCTTTGTCATAGGCGAAATCTTTTGCCTTCTGTGCCTTGTTCTCGGCAAAATCCTTAGCGTAACCTGCATTGTCATAAGCCGAGTCCTTGACGTGTTGGGCCTTGTCATAAGCATAGTTCTCTGCAACTCGGGCCGCTTTTTCTGCTTCCTCTTTTGTGCTACCAAATCCACTGGAATTAAAATCAGCAAAACGTTACCAAATTACGGCCAAATATGTGCATATATATAATATATGACCGACGACCAAAGTAGAAAGCTAATCAAAAAGATATCAAAAAAAAAAAAAAAAAACGCAACTAGATATTATCAATCTCACAAAGCACGTACACTTAGAATTATGATCAAAATGAGAACACAGAGAGAGAATTTGTTGACAGAAAATAATCAACGTGATGAGTACGTAAACGACTGATTGGGCCAGAAGTGAGTTATAAATTACTTACGTGGTGATTTTGTCGGAGACCCAACCAGCCCATGAACCGGTCTTCTCTTTGGCTTCTTGAGCAGTCTCCGTAGCCATTTTCTTCGCCGTTTCAGCGGCGTTTCTCGCGTCTTTCGCCGTCGTATCTGCCCATTTCCCGAAACTCCCCTTCTGCCGAGTCAGAACCACAACTACGACCAGCAATACCAAAGCCGTTCTCCTTCTCTCCATCATTCTTTAACCAGTGATTATGTGGATTAAACTGCTTCAAATATGTTTAAACCAACTTTTTTTGTTTTTTTTTTGGTTTTTTTTTTTTTATTGTTTTGATTCTAGTTCCAATGTCCTCGGAAGTTATAGTTATAGAGAGGTTCGAAAGATAAAGACCAGAGGTCTTTCCGAGAAGCGGTAACTGTTCACCACGTGTTTAAACGAGGTTACGTGGCGGCCACGTGTTCTCTTAAACGGCTGACCGCATTTCCCTCGAAGACCAGAAATAAGATTAGCGGTCACATTGTTTGGAAAGCGGTTTACATAACCGGACCGGTTAGCTAGCTTAAATTTAAAATCAGATTCAACTCCAACTAACCGAAATTTAAACCGGTCACTCAAACAATGTGGCTATTTCATCATTTTTATAGAATCATACAGTGTCTACGGAAACGATTGGCCCGCCTTCAGTCGCAAGTCTGGCTCTCTGGTGATGTTCTTGAATCTTATAATCCACGATTTCTTCAAAAAGCTGTGAATCCAAGACGCAATCAGGTCGTCCGTACACCGCAGCTTGAACACCGGCCACGAGCTTAGCGATCTCACGACCAGAGAAACCTTCCGTCTTTTTTGCAGCCTCTCTGATCACTTGGTCGGTTAGATCTCCTTCAACGGTTATCTTCTGTGACTGTTTCTTGAACAAATGGCTCCATTTAGGGTTTGCGTCTTTGTCGCCTTTCTTGTCTTCACCAGTTAGGTACTTGTTCAGGTATAGCTTAAGGAGCTTAAAGCGTTCTTCTTCACCAGGAAGAGGAAACTCGATCACTTCGTCGATCCTGTCAGTCACTGCACTGTCGAGATCACCGGGTCTGTTTGTGGCCAGGACCAGAACTATGTCCCGTGACTGATCACCGGTTCGAAACAATAGAGCGTTCAGAGCGCTGCGCTGTGCCTCACTCATATACGTGCTGTTACGTCTGCAAATAAACGATCAACAATGGTATATATTAGACATAGCTCTGGAGATACCCAAGAAGTAAACCGTGAACAAATTATCTTTGGTAAGGTTCTGATTGATGGATAGTCCATAAGCCCTGCTTGACTATACTACATTCTGCCATTCTATTGGTACGATATTGCAGTCCATTGGTTCAAACTATATTCTATATTATATGGTTCTAGTAAACGATAAGCATTATAATACTGAAAGGCATTAGAAAGAGGTGAGAGCATCTTACTCGCATAAGAAAGCATCAGCTTCATCAATGAAAAGCAGTAAGCCTTTGTTTGACTTCTTAGCCCAATCAAATATCTGATGGATTTTGGTAACTGCCTGTGCACCCAGAGGAGCAACATCTCCTCCTGTCATCATAGCATAATCAAGACCCTGCAGCACAATATAAGCAAAACAGGTGTAAAATAAGTAAGGCTGTATTGAGTCAAATCTATTCGAGATTCATGACTACTTGAGTTTGGAAACAATAATAGGATACACAAAACTAATAACTCACCGACTTCCGAGCAATTTCCCTAGCAACCATGGTTTTTCCGGTACCTGGAGGCCCATAAAACATCATGTTGCGGAATGGAGCTTGATGCGACTTAGTATTTGCTGTGGCTCTTGCAAGATGCTCGATTCTCTTCTTCAGAGAAGGATGGAGAACTACATTATCAAGAGGCTTTTCTCCTTCTACAGATGCAGCTGTACCAAACCTAGAGATTTTGTTCTTAAACTGAGATACTGAGCCTGCCCACGGAAATCTACCCATGGAGGATTCTCGGATAAGTGATGGCTGTCCAAGTATCCGGTTAATATAACCCCAGGTAACCCTAGCACCCTCTCTGTTTTCATAAGAAAAACCATATAAGAAATCTACAAGAGGCTTCTTAAATCACAGCTATATTGTTTTCTCAAAATGAGCAGTAAAATAAGTAGTTAGGAGATGCATACCGAGTTGTGTAAACCCCAGCAGCTAATGCTGTAGCTCCTCCAACAGTCATAATCAGCTTATTTCGGTCAGTTAATAGGGCCCTGACTCCGCCTGTCAGTTCAATATAGAATCAAACGAATGTGAGGACACAGTTTCAAATAAATCAGAACGTTACGTAATTTCAGAACAGTTTCAAATAAATCTCGGGAACCAGAAAAGTAAAGGGCAAAGTAGAAAAATGAGATAATCTAAGCATAAAAAGAAGTGTATGCATCTCAGGAACAATGCTTATTATTTCCATACCTTCAATGTGACTGAAGGTTGTATTGATTGCTGCAAGCCATTTCTCCTTTTCACCATTTATCCTATCGAGAAGCATTCTTCGATTCTGCTCCTCGGTAAGTTTGGCCTCATGAGCTCGGCCTTCAGCCTCAGCCATGGCTTTGACACGAATTGTTTCTCTCTCAAGTTCAGCTCTCTCTTTCTCAGTCTGGCGCTGCTGTGCTTGAATCTCTTCTTCCGTGGCGATTCTTGCTTTCTCTTTCCGGATAGAAGACTCCTCTTGCATCTTAACCAACTCAGCATTATGACGTCTCTGAGCTTCATGATCTGTCTACAAAAGTTCCAAGTCAAAGACTTCTCAGAAAAGAACGAACCTTAAACCCTTTAAACATAGGTTCACTGTTTCTTTCTTACCTGCTGTCGCTTCCTCGCCAACTCATCTTCATATCGAAGATTTTGCGCTTTTGCTTGTGCCTGCTGCTGCAATAGATTTCTCTGATCCTCCGCCAGTTTCCGCTGTCTTTCCTGCACATTCAAACCCACATAAATCAATCATAATTATCTTTTTCCCGGCTTAAAATTGTTATATCAATGTAAAAACTTTAGATACTGCAACCAATGAGCAGCAAATCTCTGAAGCAGGGAACAAAGACAAAGAAAAAACAGACGATTGCAACATTTTAGATGACTCTGAGAGATCGTAACCTAGAGAACACCGAGAGCAAGTAACTTACGATGTCTTTCTGTGCTTGAATAGCTTCATTCTGCAATTTCTCAGCCGCTAATTCAGCTAATCGAGTTTTCTCTTGCTTTCTCATAAGATCAAACACCTGGAAGAAGGACTCATGTCAATTTTCAAGTCGTCTAGCTCCAACAACAAGCGATTGGGGAAAGAAAAGAAGAACATGGAAAGGTTCATCACCTGTTTGGAATGAGGAGAGTTGTTGATTTCTCGAAGAGCTTTAGCGCCTCTTTCCAAGGACTCAGGATCGAAACCAGATCCTTTAGGCTCATCGGGCTCCGGTTTGGTCTCCGGTTTAGAATCCGATGAAGACTGGTCGGTTGGAGATTCAGACGGCGGGGAAGAAGAGTAAAAGGGAAAGCGAAAGCGCGAGTCAGCGTATGCGCGGTTCTGCGACATCGACATTGAAGTGAAAGCGGCAGCTATCGCCGCCGCGGAACATAATCGAGAAGCAGCCATTGACTCCGATTAAAAAAAACAGCTTCCCCCAAATCCAATCGAGAAATGGAAACCTTCAAAATAAAAACATTTTGGATCGAGAAATGGTGCTTAGAGATTCAAGAAAATGGAGGGACGCACGTCGGAGATTTTAAGGGTACCGACTTTGATTCTGGTTTAGCTCCGGTGACACGACCATAAACCCCACGGTGGCTAGGGTTTAAATGGTATTTTTATGATTTGTGAGGGTTGTGCGAGAGAAAATCGTTTTTACACAATGGGCCTAATTTTAAATACGGGCCCATGTTCAGCCCGTCCTTAAGTCCAGTTTTCACCTTACGGTCTTTTCGTAATTGTGTTTTCGGTCCAGCTCAATCAAATCACACAAACTTTCGAGTTCTACATGTAAATTACACAAACTTTTGTTTTGCATTCCTTTAACTACATAAACTTAGAAAACTCTCTCTAAACCCATCCTCTAGCTAACAGTTACCGTTAAAATTATCCAATAACAAAGAGAGTTTAAGCCAGGATTTATAATACATTGGCGATACTAATACAAACCATTACTCTAATATTATGTCGATCGTTCACATTTTATGTTTTGTCGATCATTTACATTTAAACAAAAATTCTTCACCAACAAATAGAGTTTAAGCCTATTAGAGCAAAGACTCTACCTGCAACAGCGGCTCCTCAAAACGACATAACTTTGCAGAAAACTAAACAAGGTGTGGGCCAAACGGTTTCCTTGCCCAATGACTCTGATCAACGTCGCAAGCCCAGCTCTCAAAAGGAAGAAGCTCCAAAGGCTAAGTCACAAGAAGACAACAAAAACAGAGTTAGTACGGTTCAGAGCATTAAGCGCAAAGAAGAAATGTCGGGAGCCTTGAGCACAGAAAAGCAACAGTATCAGATCAAGCTGTCCAATCAATTCTCAGCCCTTGATCAAGAAGAAAGAGTCTGATCGTGCCACCTGTCTAGCTCGCTAGGGTTTTATTCACTGATGTATAAATATATTCTCTTTGCGTTGTAAGAACATTAAAGTTGAAAAGAAATCAAAGTTTAAATCCTTTCTTCTTCAAATACTCAGAAGCATGGCTTCTGCTAACATGGTATCAAGAGCCATGGATAATGAATCTTTGGAGCTTGTTTCCATTCCTACACTCAGTATCACCAACTGTGTTACAGTTACTCTTACAGAGAAAAACTATGTGCTATGGAAGTCTCAGTTCGAGTCCTTTCTCGGTGCTCAAGGTCTTTTCGGGTTCGTGACTAGCTCTACTCCGAAACCTGCAGCTACGACTACGCTCAACGGTCTTAACAATATCACCTCGGAGATTCCAAATCCAGCTCTCACTCAGTGGTACAAGATCGATCAAGTTGTTCGTTCCTGGCTGTTGGGTTCTTTCTCTGAAGATATGATGAGTCAGGTCATTTCTCTTACTTCATCACACGAGATCTGGCTCTTTCTTGCCTCTCACTTCAGCAAGGTCTCAAGTTCTCGCCTTTTTGAGCTCCAACGGCGCCTACAGACTCTTACCAAAGGAACTAAGTCCATGTCCGACTTTCTCCGTGAAGTAACTACTCTTTGTGATCAACTTGTTGCTGTTGGAAGCCCTGTCGATGAAAAGATGAAGATCTTTGCAGCTCTTCATGGCTTAGGCAGAGATTATGAGCCTATCAAGACTGTTATTGAAGGTTCTATCGACAAACAACCTCCTCCCACCCTTGCAGACATCATCCCTCAGCTTACTGGTGATGTAGGCACCCGGGGTGATGCTACAAAGGTGGTGTGAGAGTGTGTAACAATTGGCCGATGGGCTCGCCTTGTTAACACTAAGAGGTGAGAGTGGATCGAGATGAGGTAAAGATAATTGGCCGAGGGGCTCGCCTTATCCTTACAAAGAGATGAGATGATGAACGTGACTAAGGATGGAGTGAATAGACGCCACACGGGGATGATAATTCCGTGATAAGTCTGGTGAAACACTAAGCAAGGGGAATCCTCACAAGCTTAAGTATCTCGGTAAAGTTCAAGAGACAAGTTCTTGAAGAAAGTTCGATCTTTATTGATATGAAAAAGGTTGTGTCCTTACAAAGCTGCGTGTGGGACTTTATTAATAGTCCGTCAGCTGTGAACCTTCTAGGGTTCGACTCAAAACTCAAAAAGAAAAGAATAAAACGACAGACTCTTAAAAGATAAAAGATATTTCTCTATTCTAGGACAATTGTTTCTAAGGACTAAAATAAAAGGACTAAAAGACAAAGCCTGCAAAACAAACAAGGAAACTCGTTAGAAATTCAAATTGAAATACTCACCTTGTCTTTAAAAGTGTCTCGGTGCATCTTTTAAGCCGGTGATATGGAAAAGACACAAGTTCCCTTATGTGGAGCGATGTAGGGCCAATGCGGAGTGTGAGAGGTCTTGAGGCTGTTGTGGGCTCTTGATGGATTCTTGGAGTTGTCTTGGCTGGGCTCCGCACAAACTAAGGCTTGGCTCATTGTGGGGCTTGTGCTAGTTGATTCTTGAGGCTCGGCCATGTTCACTTGAAGGCCTTTTATTGCTTGTTCGGATTCTATCTCCTTGAGGGGCAAAGTTGGTGGGTGGAACACGAAGCTATGGTCACTCTCTTGCACAAGTATTGGCTCGGTCCCCTTCTTGACTTGTGGTTCATCGAAGTTCCTTGATGTGGTGGCCGTAGGGCTCCATTTGTTGTAATAAGCTCTGGACTGCCTTATCAAATGCTTCCCGAGCTGCTCTAGTCCTTGACCTTGTTTGAGGAGCCTCTCTCATGACAGGCATTGTAATGTCCTGCTCGGCTTCCTCTTCAGTTTCTTCCTCTTCACGGTAGATGTCCTCATCATTCCCACCCTCTTGAGAAGGTTCTGGCCTCAGAACTGGTTCATCTGCATTGAAAGGAGCAAGGTCAGTAACATTAAAGCTTCTAGATACATTAAACTCACCTGGAAGCTCCAAACGGTAGGCATTGTTGTTAATGCGCTCTAACACTTTGAATGGACCGTCTCCTCTTGGAGCTAACTAAGAGCTGCGCTGGTTTGGAAACCTCTTCTTGCGTAGGTGCAGCCAAACCCATTCTCCGGGTTCAAAGATCATTTCCGTGCGATGCTTGTCAAATCTTTTCTTGGTAAGCTCATTCTTTCTTTCGATATTTTCCTTGGCCTTCTGGTGGAGCTTTTTAATGCGCTGTGCTCGACTTTCAGCATCTTGATTGGCATACGCTCCCGGTGGTAATGTGGTGAGATCTAGTGGTGTGAGTGGGTTGAACCCGTATGCTATTTCAAAAGGGGAAAACTTGGACGTAAAGTGAGTAGCACGGTTATAAGCAAAATCTATAAAAGGTAAACAATCAAGCCATTTTCTTAAGTTCTTACCAACCGTAGCTCTAAGTAAAGTAGAGAGTGTACGGATTACAACCTCGGTTTGGCCGTCTGTTTGTGGATGGCAGGTGGTGGAAAAGAGTAGTTTGGTGCCTAACTTTTTCCACAATGTCTTCCAAAAGTGGCTGAGGAATTTGGTGTCCCGATCAGAGACAATAGTCCGCGGTAGTCCATGAAGTCTCACCACTTCTTTGAAAAATAAATCAGCTATTTGCGTGGCATCACTAGTCTTGGCACAAGGAATGAAGTGTGCCATTTTCGAAAACCGGTCCACCACCACAAAGATAGAGTCCTTATTCTTGATCTTAGGGAGTCCTAATACAAAATCCATAGAGAGATCCTCCCAAGGGGCATTAGGAATAGATAATGGCAGATATAAACCATGCGGATGTAACCTGGATTTAGCCCTAAGGCATGTGATGCACTTGGCACATAATCTTTCTACATCTCGCTTAAGGTGTGGCCAAAAGAAATGCTCCATGATGATGGCTATCGTTTTGTCTCGGCCAAAGTGGCCCATGAGACCGCCTCCGTGTGCTTCCCTTATGATAAGCTCTCGCATGGAACCCTGTGGAATGCAAAGGCGTTTATCTCTAAACAAGAAATCATCATGTCTATAAAAAGCTCCGAATACTCCCTTTTCACACTCCATGTAAGTGCTACCAAAGTCGGGATCCACCCAATATTGTCCTTTGATGTGCTCAAATCCTAGGACCTTGGCCTCCATTGTAGTCACAAGAGCATATCTCCTTGATAAGGCATCAGTCACAATGTTCTCTTTTCCCTTCTTATACTTTATCACGTAGGGGAAGGCTTCTATGAACTCTAACCATCGAGCATGTCTTCTCTTGAGTGCGGTTTGCCCCCGTAGATGTTTTAGAGTCTCATGATCCGTATGGATAACAAATTCCTTGGCAAGCAAGTAATGTTGCCATACTTCCAATGAGCGAACTAAGGCATATAGTTCTTTGTCGTAGGTGGGATAATTGAGGGTCGCCCCACTCAACTTCTCACTAAAGAACGCTATAGGCCGGCCTCCCTGTGTGAGTACAGCTCAAATGCCAATCCCAGAGGCATCACACTCAACTTTGAAAGTTTTGTTGAAGTCGGGTAGAGCTAGCACCGGTGCCTTAGTCAGGCTATCTTTGAGCTTCTTGAACGCCTTTTCTTGCTCAGCTCCCCACTTAAAAGTGATATTTTTCTTGATAACCGCGGTAAGAGGTGCGGCTATGGAGCTGAAATCCTTCACAAATCGGCGATAGAAGCTTGCGAGGCCATGGAAGCTCCTTACATGGCTGATGCTTGTTGGCGTAGGCCATTCTTCTATGGCTCGTATATTCTCTTAAATCAACCTGTAATCCCTGCGAGCTAACAACAAAACCTAGGAAAACAAGGTGATCGGTGCAGAAGATGCACTTCTTGAGATTCGCATAAAGACTTTCTTGTCGAAGAGCCTCTAAAACTAACTCAAGGTGCATAAGATGGTCTGATAAACTCTTACTATAAACCAAAATATCATCAAAGTATACTACCACGAACTTACTGATGAAGGCTCTTAAAACATGGTTCATAAGCCTCATGAAGGTGCTAGGGGCATTGGTGAGGCCAAATGGCATTACTAACCACTCGTATAGACCTTGTTTGGTCTTAAAAGCGGTCTTCCACTCATCTCCTTCCTTCATACGGACCTGATGATATCCACTTTTCAAATCCACCTTAGAGAACACTGTAGAGCCGCTGAGTTCATCTAACATGTCGTCAAGCCTGGGTATAGGATGTCGGTATTTGAT